TAATTATATACCTCTAGAACAACACTCGTCTGCAGAATCGGAATTTGCCAAATGAAACTGAAACATCCAATTCACTTATTGTTGAGCAAAATTTTCACATAGCAAAAGCAAAACAAGCTAGAGATGTACTAAAATTGTACAGTGATGACGCATCAGATGAACACTATGTTGCTACTTTTGACCTCCAAAATGTATTGCCATACAAGAAATTGTCAACATCCATTACATATTCCAAAAGAAATTATATATATATATATATATAATATATATATATATATATATATATATATATATATATATATATATATATAAATAAATATATATATATATATATATATATATATATAATATTATATATATATAAATATATATATATAAATATATATATATATATATATATATAATTATATATATATATATATATATATATATATATATATGTCTATAATCTAGGAATTCATTCTTTCAAGCTTTATATACGTGTGGGACAAAACAGATGATGGTAGAGGATCTCAGGAAATATCTTCAATATTGACATTGAATCTGAGAAACATGTCAAAAATTTTCAAATTTTGTCAAATTCATGCCATTATGACCAAAAAATAAAAAATGGCTCAAATCTCATCCTGGTCGAGTTGTGACTTAATTCCAAATTGGCGGTCTGTTAAATGAAGCCTATGGAAAAGTAGCTAATGTTCAGAATGCTGTTCACACAATACACGTGATGTCCTCTTTTTGACGACCAGATATGAAATCGACATAAAAGAGATAGGTAAACATAAGAAAGATATTGTAGCTATAATTAAACCTAAAGCAATTACCTATAGACTGCAACAAAAGTGTTGACGGTCTCAGATCAACTTGCAAGCTATTTCTCACCTCTGAGAAAAACTGTTAGCTGGTGCCATAAAGCTGCAATTGAAGTTTTATTGAATACGGCTGTCATCAATAGTTTAATATGGAACCCCAAACTTATCTCTACATTTTGTAATGGGTGCGAAAATTTTTACTGTGTGACATGTTTCACTAAAAAGCATTAAGTTGTTAATGATCACCGGTGACACTAGTGACACATACGTGTGTAATATGTTACTGCATTTGTGCCATTAAGATTGTTGCAGTTTCACAACGATACACTTCGTTTCGGTCTTGTGAATGAGATAGTCGTTAAATGGAGTAAGTTTGCATTATCAACTTTTTGTGGTTCGTGTACGTTGCTAAAGACGTCTTTTTCAATAGCGATTGGTTCTATAATTTCATTGGGTAAGGTACAATACACCATTTATCTTGTTGCTGCATATATCAAGTACATTTACTTGGTATATAGACTTCATATTTGTTTAGAACTTTATCTTATTTGTGCCGCGATCGCGATTAAACATTGTCAAAAAAAGAACATTTTACATACATATAAACATTCATTTTAGCGTACTTACTGTGTAGTTTAATTGTATATTTTATTTTACTATTAATTGATATGTGTAACTATGTATACTCGTTTTCCATCGTTCTTGGCGTGTACCTGAAATAAGCTACTACGGAATTTTTAATATTCGTCTCTCTCTGATACACAGATGCGTAATTCAATTGTGCGAGTCACGTTCGTCATGGTAAAGTGCGATGAGAAGGGAATGAAGAGACCACTCACGTCTCCCAGTATTGTAGCAATAACACCGATGCGTTTGGCCGATACGGTGTCGGTGATAAGTTCGGCCTCTTTACGAATACAGATAGCTGGCGGTGACTCTCTCTCTTCCGATACCCATTGCAATAATGACTTGTGGCATTGTTCTTGAATGATCTGGCTAATAGGTTTATAATTGTAGCAATTACCATTGATATTTTGTTGTTTTAGTCGATTTTAGTCAGTCATTGTTGGAATTTGTTCCGAACAGTTTTACTTATTATTTTTTGTTGTGAATAACTAATTGTTTTATTTAATAAGAAAAATGCCGGGAAAAACGATAACAGGAGAAATGCGGCAATGTGTAGTTCATTTATTGGAGTATTTTAAAAAAGAAAAAGAAAACAACGGACCTTTGCTTTCGTTATCATCGGTACATGAACGAGTAGCGGACGCTTTGAAAATCAGTCTTCGCACAGTGACAAGAATAAAGAGTGAATACAAGATATCAGCAGCTCTTACTACACCAGGAGAGTCACGTAATGTACAAAAAAAAAAGACTAATGATGTCAGCGATCCTATAAAAGGAGAGATTAGAAATGTACTGTATGGATGAAAGCAAAAGGAGAGCACGTTACAATTAAAGTTCTAAATACACAATTAAGAAACAAGCATCACTATGACGGTTCTGATACAAGTTTGTGGCGCCTTATGAAAAATTGTGGGTTTTCCTACAAACTAGAACATAGTAGACGAGTGCTATGTGAGAAACCATGTATTGTCTCCAAACGACTATATTTTTTGAGTCATTATATGAGAAATTTTTTAAGTCCAAGCCCACTTCAGTTCGTTTTTTTAGATAAAACATGGATATTTCTAAAAGGGGCATATAAACGTACTTGGCAAGATGACTGTGTGAAAAGCATCAGAAAAGGACACGAAAATACAGGTAAACGCTTTGTTATTTTACATGCCGGAAGTAAGCAAGGATTTGTTAAAGATGCTGGATTACTGTTTTCTACGAAATCGAAGAGTGCAGACTATCATGATTCTATGGATAAAGAGTCTTTTAAAAAGTGGGTTTCCGAAAAGCTGATACCAATGTTGGAGGAACCATCTCTAATTATTATGGATAATGCCTCATACCATAGCTCTTTAATAGAAAAGTTACCGAATGCCAGTTGGAAAAAATCGGACTTACAAGAATGGTTACGAGCGAAAAAAATAATTTTTGACGACGATTCGGGCAAGACATAGCTATTGAGTCTTTGTTCGCCAGAATAAACCACAAAATACCAGGTACGTACGTTATAGACGAGATACTCCAAGAACATGGGCATCAGGTTTTGAGATTGCCTCCATATCACTGTCAATATAATCCGATTGAGTTGGTCTGGGGCATTTCTAAACAATACTATAATCGTCATATTGGAGAACATGAACGTGGAGATGAAAAAGTTTGGGGCGATGCATTAGCTGAGGCTACACCTGCAGTGTGGGCGAGTTGTGTAAACCATACTGAAAAAGTAATTCAGGGCGACTGGGCAAAAATGGTTACATATGATGAAAATGAAAGTAGAATTATCATCGATTTAGCGGAAGATTCCAATGATGAAGACAGTTTCAGTGAAGACGCTGACTGATTAGCTAATTAATCAAGATCAGTACGTTGTAACAGTTCAGAATTCGCTACAGTGCTTAAATTAAAACTTAAAAAATCTGTATCATTTTTTAATTAAAGTGGGTTAAATAATTAACACTTTTTGGGTATATTTCAAAATCCTTTTAAAATGTACTTTTCGTTATATTCTGTCCTATTGTACTGCAAGCTAGAAAAATACTTCTTCGCAATTTATACGTATATTGCGTTATTAGAAATTTAATGAAAAATATTTTATAATTTTCTTTTAAAACTATTATTTCGTTTGACATGCTACATTTTGCTCCGCCACTGGAGGAGGTAAACGAATCGAGCTTTGACAAGGAAAGACAGATGAAACAACTTATTGCAAGTGTTTTTACACGCACACGCCAAGAACGATGAAAACGATTATATATTACTTATAATGTTGTTACTAATTTACACAAAAGTATTCTATTGTATTGACTTTGGTATTGCCTGTCGTATCATATTCTAGCATATTCCTGTTATGATTTCATCCGGAGACAAGCGGTTTATGTGATATATAGATATCCATCATATCATATTTAGTTTCAAAGAGCTGTGTTTTTACGTTAATTCATTCACCTTTCTTAAAGCATCTGTCACGCGTATTTTAAATTTCAGTTTTAATTGTTTACTGATTTTACTTCTTTTTAAATAAAATTTCATACGATCGTCTTATTACTTCTATGGGGATTTACATACCCAATGCGAAAGGGAGAAACCAGCAAGTTCTAGATTGAACAGAATATATTCTCTCCCCTTTCTGATGACCCCAAATATTATATTGATGTCATCGTATATGCAGAACGCAACAAGGATCACCCGTGACCTTGCTATTTTTTTTTCAAAAAAAATTGTAAGAATGTAAATTTACTTAGTATTATTAACTATTTGTATGAATAAATATTGTTTTGTAAGCATTTTTCACTTTGGCACCTGAGGAACTTACCTAACACTCTTATGGTGGCAGCCAATGTGTTAAAATATAAGCAAGAAAATTAGAAAAACAAACTATGGAGATTGGAGATGGGAAACAAATTGAGAGGAAGGATGAGTCATTTGTTATTACTAAAGTTATCACACAACTTTTTCTGCAAAAATCAGAATGCCACTTCTCACATCCACCTCAAAACAGATCCCCTGGTCTATAAGCAGTTCATCTCGTTTCGACTATAAAAGAAACAGCTTCTCTTATGAATAATTTATTTGAATTAAATAAAGAGCATATAAACAAAAATAAATTTTGTATAATACTTAACATAAATTACAATTAAAATAACAATTTTTCACCTAAAATTTGACAGTTCTTGGAGGAACCGCCAGACATTACAAAACCAATTCCTTGGCATACAAACAGTGATAAAAATCCTATATCAAACATGTAAAAAGTTGCACATTACAATTTGCGTATTGTAACATTGAATAATTAGTACAAGCAAAGCCCCAACGAAAAAACATAAAAGACTTTACTCGTTTCAAATTTCAAATAACTTATTTAAAGGCACTCAATTGGAATGAATTTACACATCTATAAAACTTCACAATTTTGTTGCATTTAGTATTTATATACAATATAGGCACCAATTTATCAGCTTACAATTGTCACAAAAATATACAAGAATAATTATCCACCGAAAAGACAATGTGTCGGTGCTGCTATGTTAGATGTCTTAATAAAATATAAAAAAATTGCTAATGGGGCAGATTTTATTAACTCCATACGTCGGCGGATAGACGTTTCTGCGTTTCCATCTTCTTCAGGTATGCTGTAGCTTGTTCTTCGGTCAAAGATCCTTTTTCTTGCAATATTTTTATAAGGATAGCACGAACGTCGGTGGCCATGGACTTAGCATCACTAGAAATTAATAAATAAGAATTAGTAACAGTAAAAAACGAAAAATTGATCTTAAAATTAAAGGTGTCGAAGAATTGCGCAGAGAATAATCCAAAAAAAGCTTGATATCGTCTGAAAGACAATGTAAGATTACAGTTCCCTTTCCATCATCGGAAATCAGTCGAAAATAGACAGGTGTCTTGAAGGTATGTATCAAATTGAAGGTTATACCCGCAAGGAATACAAGGGAGAGGACACAAATTATCAAGAATTACTAAGTAAACATTATGCAAAATTAAAGATGACTTAAACTAACTTCTACGAACAAGAAATCAAATAGACAACATCCTAATAAGATCAAGATGCGATCATCAACTCTTGGTATTGAACGTTCGACTTCGTTTTAAAGTTCCCAAAAGAAGACCCCTAAGAAAAGTCATGTCTCAAGAAACGACTCAATCACCTAGGTAGATCTCAACCATCCTAGTAAGCTGATTTAAACTACAGTGAAATATATCGCAGTAAGCACTTAAGAAATTATAATAGTTGCACAGAAATAGAGAATTTAACATAAGATTAGTTCTAGCTTGTGTATTTCTGAACGTAATCAAATTTCTCACTGAATAAGATGGAACGTTAAAATTTATTTGTCGAAGAATATCAGGGCAGTCAATGAGATTATGTAGTAGCTTGAACAGGAATATTAGGGAGGCATTAATTCGTCTAGATTCTAATGATACTATGTCAAAACCGCTACATAACTCACTATTGCTGATGCCCCTCTTGGGATATATGCCGTTAATTTTGAAAGACAAAAATTTTAAAAATTTACGCTGCACCTGCTCTATAATTTGAATATTTACATCATTAAAAAGGCTGACCACAAATGTTAGCCACCAAATTAAAGATAAAAATACGTTTATTGACGTTTCAATTTCCACTTCGAAATCGTCTCAAAATACAAACATTAGTAAATTAAACAAATTTTGTTTTTGTTTACATAGTGAAAAATTCTTCTAACAATTTAATTTCATCTACTACAATATTGACAATTCAGACATACATTATGCATTTTAAAATAGACGACTTAAAATAATATTGCCAATATTGTTGTGTTGCGCTCCTGGGACGACTTTACTTATAAGATAGTTTCATTCGATACATGAAATCAACTTAACTGAGAATATCCGTCAGAAAAAAAATTATAAGCATGTAATTCGTCTTTAAAAGACAAACACATGACATGATGACAGTAAAATTCTCCTGTTAGTGATTCTATAGTAAATTATGAGGAAAACCTGAAAAAAACCTCATAATACTATCCCGACATTGTAAGTATTTGTTCGTGAATTTAGTTTACCTTCAACAAACATCAAATTCTGATTTATATGTTACGTATTTAAAAAAACATAAATGATGTATCCTCTATATGTTTACTGACTTACTAATACTGGTATTTCTTATTAATACTTCCTCTTTCAATATTGGTAAAGATCCTACTACATTCTGCCGAGGAATTTGCGACACAATTCGCCTCATTTAGCATAATTAGAGCCGCTTCTTTGATTTTCTTTTTTTACCATCCGTTTCTTTTAGGACTACATTTGAATTATTCCATTGAATCCTATGTTCATTATCCCATGCGTGTTTACATATTTGAGTCTATCAAATTCTCTATTTTTAATATAAGATTGATGTTCACTTATTCTAACATTAATGGCCTTGATGATTCACCTAAATGATCGCATTCACAGGTATTTTATAAATGCAATTCTTGTCCTTTCTTGTTCATTGTTAGGTTGGTTTGGACAAAAAGATCTCAACGTGTTTGTTGTTTTGAATGTTGTTGAAATGTTGAATTTATTTCCTATCTTTAAGTTTTCTGTAATCCGTTTATTACGTATTGTTATTTCTATATTCTGTGTACTTGGATCTCTTCTAAGTTGTTTTATATATGATCGATTGTAAATCTATCTAAAAAGAGGATAATCATTTTTTACGTGTTACAATGTGAGAGTAACAGATAAAATCGAATTTTGATGTTTGTGAAGTAAAGCAAATTCCGACAAATCTTACAAGTTCGGATGTATTAGAGTTTTTTTTTCTGTTTTTTTCCTCATAATTTTACTATGGAATCACTAACAGGAGAATTTTACTGTCATCATGTCATGTGTTTGTTCTTTTTAAAGACGATTACATGCTATGATTTTTTTTCTGACGGATATTCTCAAGTTAAAGTTGATTTCATGTAATCGAATGAACTATCTTGATAGTTAACAGTCTGTCCCAGGAGCGCAACCTCAACAATATTGGCAATATCATTTTAAAGTCTGTCTACTTTAAAATGCATAATGTATGTCTGAATTGTCAATATAAATGAGTCAGATAAAATTAAATTATTAGAAGAATTTTTTCACCATGTAACAAAAAACAAAATTGTTTAATTTACTGTTTGTATTTTGAGAACGATTTCCGAAGTGGAAATTGAAACGTCAATAAACGTATTTTTATCTTTAATTGTGCTTATTCCCAGTTTAAATAGTAATTAATTTACAATGCCACAAGAAAATAGCTTCAGAACAGTATTAGTGAGATTTCGACTATTTCTAATTATGAATCCATAAGATTTAAGTGCTTCTTTAACCTTTAAATTAACATGTTCAACAAAGGTGAGTTTATAATCAAATGTAACTCCAAGGTCTTTAATTGTATTCAAACGTTCAAGTTAATTGTCATCGATAATATAAGGATGGTATATATTAGACTTTTTCCTAGAATAACTAACTACTTTGCACTTATTGGCATTAAGATTCAAATGATTTGCATTACACCATTCATGTACACGATTCAGTTCACTCTAGAAAATGACAATCATTAAGGTCACTTATCAATGAATAAATCTTTAAATCATCGGCATAACATAAACATGGTGCAGAAATTTATTCACACAGATCGTTAATAAATAACAAGAACAATAATGAACCTAGATTAGAACCTTGTGGAACCCCTGAAGAAGCTAGGTACTTTTCCGATTTGTAACCATTATAAGCAACAATCTGCGTTCTATTTGACAATTAAGACCTCATAAAAGTCACGGCATCCTCAGAAAGACGAAAGAGACACAATTTAGAAAGTAATACGCCGTGGTGAATTACGTCGAACGCCTTCGTAAAGTCAGTATATATGACGTCAACTTGAGTTGAGATATATTGTGTGACAGTGTGACCATTAATAAGTTTGTCACAGTGGACCGATTGGAGACAAAACCATGTTGATATTGAGACAGCTGATTACGAGTGCGTGAATAAATACGATTATACAAAATGATTTCAAAGACTTTCGACAGATTGCAAATAATGGAAATTGGTCTGTAGTTTTCTACCTGACCCTTTTCACCAGTTTTGAATATTGGGCATACTTTTGACTCCTTCCAGAGACTCGGATATTCCTTGTTAAGAAGACATAAATTAAAAATTTTTAATAGTGGCACAGTTAAGGCAACTATGCAATCCTTAACCAAAAAGGATGGAATATTATCAGGTCCACACGTCATTTTGTCTTTCAATTTCTTACTAGCAAAAACTATCTCAGACTCCGAAATAGGACAAAAATTTAAGTAATCTGCGTTAACTGAGGAAGAGTTAGCCTTGAAATTAATATCTGATGACAGAAAACCACTCTTGAACACCGTTCAAGTTAAATTGCGGAATTGTACTCACCCACAAATGTAGATATGTCCGTTATTCTCTCCAATAATCTTCCAAACTTCGTCGGCTTGTTGCTCTAATAGATGCGTGACGTAGACCTTTTTGGCTTGATCCCTAGAGAAGGCTAAATGCAATGTAAGTAGACCGCTCTTATGGTATTCAACTAATTCTTCTTCGTAAATGTAATCTTCACTGCTCTTTCTGCAGCCGAAATAAAGCACTGTGTCTCCTACGGGTTTTCCTTCCTCTTTACAAAGATTCCTAAAACAAACAATATTTTAAGTGAACAGAAAACAATAAGTAACAATATTTAACATAAAAACAATAATAATTTAATTAGATATAGATTTCCAAGTGTTTTATGACTTCCAGTGGGATCAATGAATGAGTTTCACCAACCCTTAAAACCACATCATTTTTTATAAGCCGTGTTTTCTCGTCTCTCTGTCTCTCTTTTTCTCAATCTCTTTCTATACCTATCTCTACCTTTCTCTAACTTTATATCTATGTTTTCTACCTATGTATCTATCTCTCTTGCTCTCTCTATCTCTTGGGAAAGTGAGAATGTAGAGGAGAGAGATTTGTTATCTTCTACCTCTAGTCTCATTTCGGAAGTGCTGGAAGATAAACGTGAGTGAGAAAAAAGGAGAGATATAGTGGTTAGAGCGTTGGAGAGGAAGAGAGAAACAGTGGAATATTGCAGAGATAGTTTGAGATACTGCATAAGAAAAGGGAGAGAGTGACCGGGGAGGAGGGAGAATCATTTGTTTTCTTTTGACTGTAATCTCATTCTGGATATGTAGGGAGAGTGTGTAAGAAAAAGAGAAACGGAATGAACCAGTAGGACCCGGAAAAAGAGTGAGATGGAGTGAAAAAGGGAGAATTAGAGAGAGTAGGAAAGGGAGAAGAGGAAGAGTGGGTTAAACGTTGGAGCAGGGCAAAGAGTAGGCGGAAAGAAAACAGAGAAAGACATAGGGAGGCTTCTTATGGGTGAAAGGAAGAGAGGAGTAAGAATGAGAGAGACGTTCCTTCTATTGATAGAGAAAAAGAGAAAGTGAGACAAAAAATTTGTTATTTTAGTTTAATTACTATTTGGGTATGCAGCGGAGGATAGGACAAAGAAGTACTCTTTTTACTTGAAAAAGCTTTCTTCGCATATCTTCATTTCCATCATCAGGGTGCTTACAGTAAGCCAAATTTGCTAGTTGATGAAAGTTTGTTCCTCTTAAAAAATTAATCCATCTCGAAAAACAATATTTTTTAATAATTACTCTCCGTGGATAGGATTTTACATTCGTAAAATTGAAAGAGTGTCCTGTTGGAGTGTGTGGCTAGGGAACATCTATCACGGTGTAAACTAAACTCTTGTGAAGATTCAAACGACTGGAATCTTTTGGGGAGGTGTGACATATATAAGAACCTTCACAGCCTAAACAACTAAGTTTATATACAACATCGCTTGTATCTGAGACTGGTACTTTGTCTTTCAATGACTTGTACAAAGTTTCCACAGCTAGAGTGCTTTTATAAGAAATTTTGACATTCTTCTTTCTAAAAACAGGATTAGCCAGTTTACAAACTCTTGCGTTCATTTGTTTCACTAAATTAACTTTGAGAAGACTGATTGAGAAGGTGAGAGCTTTGTTATCTTCTAATTGTAGTCTCATTTTGAATATGCTGGGAAAGTGTGAATGGGAGAATAGGAGACACTCGAGAGCAGTACGTAGAGAAAGAATTAGAAAAAAAATGAGAGATACAGTGGATAGAGGACAGGAGAGGAAAGAAGGGGCGAGAAAAAGAGACAGAGTAAGAGAGTGGAGATAAAGTAAGAGTGTTTGAGAGATCGAAAGAGAAATGAAGAAAGGAAAGCATTTGTTACCTTTTGACCGTAATCTCATTTTTGATGTGTAGGGACAGTGTCAAAAAGGAAGAATTATAGAAAGTAGGTCACAGAAGGAAAGAGAGAGAGTGAGAGATTTACTAGTATACAGTATGAGAGGGAGAGTGTGGAAGAAAGTGCGGGGTCTTCTCTTCCGAGAGGGAGTAAGAGAAAGAGAGTCTTCTCTTGATCAAATTTATGATTCCCTACATATAATCTTAACAGGATCGTGTAACAAAAGTCATCTTAAAATTTAATTACGCCCATACAAACGCTGTATTAAAATTTGCCAATAATATATCCGATGGACATGTGTTGTAAAGAATTTGCAAAGAATACGAGGAGAGATGAGAGAGATGAGAGAGAGAGAGAGAGAGAGAGAGAGAGAGAGAGAAGAGAGAGAGTGGGAGAGAGAGTGGGAGAGAAATAATGATTGAGGGGGACTGGAAAGGAGAGAGATTTGTTATTTTTAGTCTCATTTTGGATATGCTGTATGTAAGTGAGGGAATGGGATTAAGACTAATCGTAGGATACATGAAAAGAGTGAAAAAAAAAGAAGGGAGACCGAGTGATGTGATGTGAGTGAGGGAATGGTATAGAGAGATGAATGTAGACTACAGATAAAGAGTGAAATAAAAAGGACAGATATTGAGTAGTTAGGGGGTAGGAGAGCGAGGAGTGAGAGAATGTATGAGAGACTGGTAGGGAAAGGGGGGAAAGAAAGACAAGGATTGGGAGAGAGAAAGTGAGAAACATATGTTAACTTTTGCCTGTAATCTCATTTTGGGTGTTACGTGAGAGAATGATAGAGAAGAAAAGAGATAGATATAATAGGACACAGAGACAGCATTAGATAAAGAGAAAGAGGAAGATTTGCAGGGAGTGAGGATAGTGGAATGCTGTCTTCTCTTAAAAGATGGGAAGAGAGAGAAAATAGTCATCTTAAACATTAGTTACACTCTTCTGAACCGATGTCTCCCAGTTATTAGCCAGTATTTTACATCGTCCTTATCTCCATTTTTATGCCTTTTTGCTGAAATGTAGACAGATGGTAGCAATATTTACCACTGGATTAGACTTCTATAAGGTGTTTAGGTTCAGTTGTGATGCAATATTTAATGCTTTAGCACCTGTGACACACTTCTGTGATTATCAGCGACTTGAGTGATAATTATCGAATTAAAAATATTGTAAAAACTATAATCTGGACAAAAAACGACAGACTTAGACATGCTTAATGAATTCTATCAAGAAAAATGTTTTATAATAGCAAAAATGTTTTAAATTATCGGAGAAGATTAGCCATGCTGAGAATATCAAATATGATGGGTTTCCCAATAGGAACGTCCTGTTTTTAAAATGTCATAGCGGCCATTTGAAAATTGTGAACTGTCACTTGTTGACCGTTTGTATTTAGTATACTCTAACAAATTACCCTGGCAAGATATACGCTTTATACCTATTGTGCATTACGTGAAAGTTATGGACCAAGTCATCGTCCTGATGTGCGTGAAGGAAAAGTTCCCGGAAACATTGATTTCTCTTGATGCCAAAGATCCCAGGAGAATTCAGCAACTTCTACCAGAATGCTTGGCCTTCCAAGAAGCTGCGATTTAACATCGTTGGATTATTTTTTATGGGATATGTTAAGTCATTGGTCCTATGTGAACAAACGACAATCTATTGAAGACTTAAAGGGAACATAGAGCACACCATTCGTGAGATTAATGCGGATATTTTGCATAAAGTGATCGAAAATTGGGTTAATTGGATTCGCTCCTGCAAATGTAGTCGCGGTGGACATTTGAATGATGTGTTATTCGGTACATAATTGTTATCTATATAATATTTTGCAAATAATTTTTTTTTACTTTACAGCAATTTTTTAACCGTTTTCGTTTAAAAAAAACATCAGGAAATTCTTATTGGAAGACCCCTTATTAATAGACTATTTATCAATTAACAAAGGTTATAGAAGAAAAATATTTAAAGAGTTAAAATTTAAGCTTACAATTATTCAATTCTCTATTCCACTTACCTATCCTGGATAAATCCTCTGAAGGGAGCAAAACCAGTTCCAGGTCCGATCATAATGATAGGAGTTTGTGGCTTAGTGGGCAATCTGAATTGAGATTTACGAACGAAAATTGGAACTGTGGGAAGTTCTTTCTCGGGATCAGGCATTTTAGTTTTCAACCAAGTAGTAGCGACACCCTTATTGTGGCGACCAGTTGGAGTGTCATATTCGACTAAGACCGCTGAAATAAGAAAAAAATTGTTCAATATTACACACAAATTGGTGTTATCTAAGTAAAAGATAAGTTTCGGATTGTACGAGTCACGTTCCATATTAGTTGGCCCACTAATTTAAAAAAATTTCACTAAACCTTATGTCCTTATGACCTTAAGTCAACAAACATTGATTTTTTCATCTATCTATCTATCTATACAGCCCAGATCCAAGTATTTCTTTTCTTGTCTGATAGCCTGATGTTCAGCATTTGCCTTTCCATGGCTGTTTGGGTCTTTGCTATTTTTCCATGTTTTCCTTTGTAAAGTCGAAGTTTGAGAACCGTATGTGAATAGGAAGTATACATTGGTTGAAGACTCTTGTTTTTAAAATTTGGGGTATATAGGAGTGTAGGTTATATAGTGTCACCCTGTCTGACTCCTCGCCGTATCTTAATAGGCTCCGTTTGTTCAATTATTTTAATGGATATTGCTTGATGATATATATTAGAAATTAAGTCAGTATATCTATAGTATATTCTCCTATTTTGTAAAGAGTTATTTACTGTGCCCAATGTTCCACCTTATCGAATGCTTTTTCAAAGTCTACAAATGCCATATACATTGGAATTTGATATTCGTTGGTCTTTTCAATTAATATGTTTATCGTAAGCAGATAGTCACTTGTACTGAATCCTTTTCTAAAACCGGCTTGTTCTCTTGACTGGTAATTATCTGTTAGTAGTTTAGTTAACAGTTTGTATATTACATTTGTAACCGTTTCAAAAGTTTTAGAAAATTCATTATAAATTTGATTATTTTTTTTAATAAAACTACTAACCCCACCTATCTGCCAGGTGCTTGTATTCGACTCAAGGTTTCTACGGTAATTCTCAACATATCCGATAGATGAGAACGATATTAACTTGTCAATCACGCCCCCAATTCAAAACCGTTAAAATAGCGTCGCTCTCTTTTCTGTTACAAACGTCCGCTCGATAGGACGTGTTTTAGAAGTGAGTCTCTAGGTTAGAGGTAAGCTACAAAGAAAAGCCTTTTCTTGTCTATATGATTTCCGGGAGGTTAAAGTTCATTGATTATGTTAAGTTAACTGAGACAGTTTCCTATGGTCCAATACTTCCCTATATATGGTTTCCAATAATTACTTATAATTATAAATGGATTTCCTATAGTAAATATTTGATTGAAATAACCAACGATGAGAAGAAGCAGAGTATATCCCTTTTTTCCTGGTTCCAGTTAAGAAAATAAAATTTAACCTTTATTTATGTGTCACCACAAACAGTTACACAAATACAGATAATAATAACAACATACACGAACAACTTACAATGGTGCTATCGGTTTACAGCAAACTCTAGACGTTGGGGACAATATTTGGGAGACATTTTGTAGCGGTTCCAACAACTAGTCGTAACTATTTAAATACTTATTATAAATCAAAATATCTTTTTAAATGGATCTTACTCACTGAGATTAACTTTTTTTAAAAACAAAAAAAAAACAAATTCAAAATTTATGGTTATGCATGTACCCAATGTCCGAAGAAAATAATGCTAACTGTCATACGCCAAGATTAAATATTAAAACTTTATAAGAATAATTAATATGACAGTTAGCCAATTCCTAAAATTAATAATAATCAAAATGTCCATTTTTACTTTAAAAATTTTAACAAAAAAAAATACCTGATATCACTGACTATTGTATCTCCTTTAAAAGTTTTGGCGTTGGAACTGGACTCCAAAATACAGCAAAACAAACAAATGAGTCTCACAAGCTGCAAAATGTTCTGGAGTGACTAACGACAACAAATAGATGATGAAAGCTGGGCACTAGATTATCTTGTCGCAATCTTCAAGGCTTAGCTTTTCAAAAACTCAGGCTCTTGCTCGAAACCATATGGACATCTTTTAAACTGATCGAAACGCCGTGTTTCAAATCCCTCAGATAAAACACAGCACGAACAAAATCGGCGAGTAACTCAGACAAAAACTGACACATTACATCTGAGTATAAAATTCACCTCTTCATAAAAAATTGTTGGTTCCTTGAAGAATACACACCCAGGCTCTTTTCCCGTCAAGATCTTAAACCAACCTCAAACTGTAACTATACATGTTACCAAACTTCACTATTTCTAATAACAAAAATAAAACAATAACCAAAAACCATTACGAATTTGACGAAAATTCGGACTAAACAAACGAAACCAACTGCCCTTGACAGCGGCTCCACCGATAGTGACGAAGATTGGATAAATAAGGTTGTACCTATTTTTTTACTAAGCCCAATCAGGAACGAGAGAATTATTTATGGATTCACAGAGACAAGAATATAGTGAAATATTTTAATTTTGTTTAAAGTTTTGACTTAATATGTTTAGTTACTAATTAACTACTAAAATGCTTTAAATGTAAACAAATTTCGAAATTTGGGAAAGAAATATAGTTTCATTTATTTTTAATAATCAATTCTTGATTTAATACGATATGAAGTTGTTTTGTTTGTAATAAAGTCATATGAAGTTGTTTTGTTTGTAATAAAGTCAATATGAAGTAATATGTTAGTATCTTTTGGGAATAATATAATTTTTAATGTTTCTTTTTATTACTGAATATTAATTTTTTTTATCCTCGTCCCCTGCGAGTGGAAAATATAGGGGTGGCGTCCAATGATAAATTATAATTTCATGTTATCTAATTGTGTTTGAAATTTTGACGTACTACGTAGTTTTTTTTTGTGCATTTGACCTTACCACACCTTCTCTCCGACATAGAGCTAACCTGACCTTGAATTAAATGTGTGTACTAGATGTTTTCAAATATCGACGATACACATTAAGTAGCGTTACGGGCCTATAGTTTTTCAGATCTTTTTATCGCCTTTTTTAAATAGTAATAGTGTTATTGACTCGTTCCATGTGGTGGGTATTTGTTTTGTATTCAATATTTTCATCCATAAAGGACTTTCACTGTAGATTTCCCCACATTTTTTAGCGTTTCCACGCTAGTTATTTCATCTTTCCCAGGAGATTTGTTATTCTTCATTTCTTTGAGTGCCTTTTTTACTTCATTTTTACTGATTTCTGGTTGTAGGTCATAGTTAACTTTCTTTATTTTCAGTTGTAACTGATTACGGATTTCTCGGGTTGGTTTTTGTTCTGTTTTGTGGAGATTTGTATAATATTCGTGCGTCATCTGTACAATGTCTTTTATATTGTTGGTCTCCACTCCTTATTATTTGTTCTTTATGCTATTAATTTGTATGTTTCCCAGGTTCTGCTTTAAGCACTTACTGTTTCTTTTTTTTAATTTTCTATCTTTTTTCCTGTGCTCTCCATTTACACTCCTTGATCACCATCATCATCATATAACGGGGGTCCTACGGCGATTGCCGCTTCCCGCATTTCAGCCTCCATCTTTTCTTATCTCTCCAATCTCCCTCTTCTAAGCTTATAGATTGCATTGTTTTTGTAATTTCTCTTCTCCAGGAATTTGGTGATCTTCCCTTTTCCTTATTTCTCGCGGAACATACGTTATTCGGTTTTTGTACATCTATCTTAACCCTGCCATCTGCTGATATGATGCTTCCTAGATATTTATACTGATTTGCCTCAGATCTGTGGTATTTCCTCCAATTTTTAAATATTCTGTTTTGCTTATGTTTACAGTAAGCCCCCATTTGACATATTCCTTAAATAATTTTCGATTCATATAATTTATATCTTCCTCATCGGTTGCAACCACCGCCTGATCATCTGCAAACAACAATGTATACAGAGTTTCTTGTCCCACTTCGATGCCCATAAATCTACATTTATTTCTCCAATTCCTCAATGCTTCTTGGACGTATATTTTAAAGAGTGTCGGTGACAAACAGCATCCTTGCTTTAGGCCTTTAGTGACTTTAAATTCATTTGAAGTTCTGGTTCCAATTATTACACAACTAACTGCATTTTCGTACAATTTATATATCGCTCGGATATACGTCAAATCCAATCCGGACCTTTCGAGGACCTCAAACATTTTCTTTAACGGGACACTATCATATGCTTTCTCAAGGTCTATAAATACCAAATGGGTCTCTCTACTTCTTTCGAAACGCTTTTCAATTATTTGTCGGAGGATAAATATATTATCAAGGCAGGATCTCCCGGTACGAAAGCCGCTTTGTTCTTCAATATCTTGTATCTGTCTTTCAACCCTCTTCTTTAATATTCTGCCGTACAACCGGCCCACAGAGCTCGTCACACTAATACCTCTATAATTGGAACAGTCTCTTTTATTCCCTGTTCTTGTATTACACTCCTTGATATTTTTTCTAATAGTTTTGTTTATTTCTTTATAATCCATTTTATTTCTGTTCCCTTGTTCTAGTAATGTTCTCTTGTGTTCATAAGAATCTTTGTTTCCTGGGATATGAAACTTTCTTTTTTTGTTGTTGTCTGTGCTATTTCTTTTCCCACTTTCATTAGAGTTTCAGTAAATATCATGTTTATTTCATCGATATATTTGTGTTCTATATCTTCCTTGGTCGGCAACATTTCCTTTATTCTTTCTTCGTACGTCTGTTTTTCTTGTTTTCAAATCTACTATCAATGATCGTCTTGGCTGGGACTAGTCTATGGTCGCTACCAGTTGAGAAGCGATTTAGGGCTGTTACTTTTTTAACCATGGATTTATACAGGCACTAACAAAGGCAATTATAGATACATTACATGGAAAATCTGTAAATATTAAATACAACTTAATCTGCTATAAAAAATATTTTCGTTCATTTTTCATTGCTAATCAAAAGCAATTTATTTATGTAAAAAAGTTTATCAACTCACCTGTGATGTGAACTGTATTAGGATACAACTTGGGCGACGAGGAAATCGAATAATATCTGGGCTGTAGTCTGGGCAGCAATTCACAAAGATGGTCCAAAGCAGGATGACAGGAAGACATGTCTTCCAAAATATGAACAATGTTCCTGTTGTCTTCGATGATCCATTTTTGGTAAAGAGCTTTTCCTTCCGGAGTGGTAGTCGACATGGATTTTAACTTTTCTTTTTCGGCTGGATCAGTGCAGTACTCAGCCAATTCTTTTAGCACGTGCGTTCTGTTAACAAACAGATAAGTTTTTTGGTAACATTTTGTATTAAGTGTTAAAATATTAAGAATTATAACAAATAAAATATTTAAGTAAGCAGTAAATAATTTTCCAAACAAAACTAGCTTTTTTAAAAACAGATTTAGGTAAAATTGGAAAAAATAACAATATATACTTTAAATAATTGATGGATTCGACCGTTACTTGATGGAAATTCATTTTATGTAACAATAAAACACTGAAAACTGTGTTTTAAAACTTCCACAAAATTTATTTTAAATATTATCACTACAGCTGTTTCGGCTGATTGCCTTTCTCAAGTGATCTATTTTGGCTTGAGTTTACAAATTTATAGTCTCTAATGAAATAGGTTGAGGAGGGGAGAACTGTTTGTCTCAAGTTGGTCATTCAGAATTATATCTGTGTTTTTTAATTTGTTGATTTCCATAGATTCTAACAAAGATAGCTTAAGGCCTTTATTTTGAATGTGAAGAATTTTAAATTTGTCATTAAAAGAATGATTATGATCTAGAAGGTGAAGTGCGTATGTCGAATCTGTTTTTCTATTCTTGAAAGCCCTTTTATGTTCTGCTATTCGTTTATCAAAGTTTCTACCAGTTTGACCGATGTAAGTTTTTGGGCAGTCGCCACATTGAAGTTTGTACACACCACTATTTAAGTGTTTTTTATTTTGGCTCTTGTTATTTTTAATATATTTGCCTAGGTTGTTATTTGTTCGGAAAGCTGATGTTATTCCTTTCTTTTTTATGTGTTTGGCAATTTTTGTTGTTATTTTGCCTGTATATGTAATCGAGCAGAAGGTACTGGGTTTTTTCTCTGTTGGTGGAAATACTAATTTCCACCACCACAGAATGTGAAGTAGCGTTAAACAAAACTGCCAACAATATCGAAAAAAGTATAATTGCCAAATCTATTACAGATGTGTGTAGTGAAACTAAGAATTCCTGTTACAAAGAGAATAAAACAGCAATTTCAATTAAAAATAAATCAATAGAAAACAACATTGTGTTTACAAAAGCAGACAAAGGTAACACTACTATTGCTATAGATAAAATAGAATATAATAACAAAACAATAGAATTCTTAAATAATCAAAATATTGAAACTTTACACAAAGATCCGACAGAAAAATATCAAAAACAAATTAAGCTAGCGTTAGAAAATTCAAAATCAATACTAAATCCAATAGAACAGAAATACCTCAATATTATGAACCCACAGCCTCCTAAATTATATTCTTTCATTAAACTACACAAACCGGATCACCCAATAAGACCTGTAGTTTCTTTTTATACAGCTCTGTCATATAAAATTTCAAAAAAACTGTTAGAGATTATTTTAGACCACACTAAATTTTCACATAAATTTACCATAAAAAATACAATAGAACTAGTTAATAAAATACAACATTTTCAATTACCTAACAACTCCGATTAATTTCATTTGACGTAAAAAATCTTTTTCCTAGTATCCCTCCTACAGAAACTTTTATTCTAGTAAAAAACCTTTTAGACCAAAATAGTACAAATCCAATAATTACATCTGAAATTTTACATCTTCTTGAAGTTTGCATAAACCAGGACTACTTTGAATTTAATAATAAAATATATACAAATAACAGTGCAGGACTTATAATGGGTAATCCTCTAAGCCCATTGTTATCAGATATTTTTAGGGATCATCTAGAGACAAAGATTTCAAAACATCCCGTATTCAAACAGTTTTTATATTGGTGGAGATACGTAGACGACGTACTGGTATGTTTCACAGGAACTAACAGGCAACTCGACCAATTTTTATCATATATTAATTCACTTCATAGTCATATTGAATTTACAATAGAAACAGAACAAAATCAATCCATAAATTTTTTAGATTTAAAAATTAGCAGACTTCAAAACAAACATGACTTCTCCATATTTCATAAAACTACCCATACTGACACGACTATACACAATTCGTCATCCCATCCAACACAACATAAACTGGCAGCTTATCATAGTATGTTACATAGATTAACAGAAATTCCGATGTCAAAATACAACTTTGAGACAGAATTAAATATAATTAAACAAATAGCAGTAAACAACGGATACAACGAACAAACAATTACTAAAATGTCAAATCAAAAACTACACAAGAAAGCCCTGAAATTAGTATTTCCACCACCAGAGAAAAAACCCAGTACCTTCTGCTCGATTACATATACAGGCAAAATAACAACAAAAATTGCCAAACACATAAAAAAGAAAGGAATAACACCAGCTTTCCGAACAAATAACAACCTAGGCAAATATATTAAAAATAACAAGAGCCAAAATAAAAAACACTTAAATAGTGGTGTGTACAAACTTCAATGTGGCGACTGCCCAAAAACTTACATCGGTCAAACTGGTAGAAACTTTGATAAACGAATAGCAGAACATAAAAGGGCTTTCAAGAATAGAAAAACAGATTCGACATACGCACTTCACCTTCTAGATCATAATCATTCTTTTAATGACAAATTTAAAATTCTTCACATTCAAAATAAAGGCCTTAAGCTATCTTTGTTAGAATCTATGGAAATCAACAAATTAAAAAACACAGATATAATTCTGAATGACCAACTTGAGACAAACAGTTCTCCCCTCCTCAACCTATTTCATTAGAGACTATAAATTTGTAAACTCAAGCCAAAATAGATCACTTGAGAAAGGCAATCAGCCGAAACAGCTGTAGTGATAATATTTAAAATAAATTTTGTGGAAGTTTTAAAACAAAGTTTTCAGTGTTTTATTGTTACATATATACTTTACTTCTGTTAAGATGTTTTCTTAATATAGACAAATAGACAGAAAGATGAAAAACACTAACCTCGGATTTTGCGTTATGTCCACATAGTGCATCAAAGCAGTCCTGTACGAGCAAGGGCACGGGAAGGGGTGTTTCTTGCTGGAATCTTCATCGGTATTAATCAAGCTGAATATGGTGTTAAGATCCTTGCCGCAATATTTTCCCAGCTTCTCGACGAGTTCTATGTCGTTGATAGGATAGACGGCAAGATGGTCGCCAGCATCGTAACGCATTTTGGAACCCTCGATGTCGAATTCGATGTGCATGCAAGATCTGTCGCCACTTTTGTGGAGCTCTCTGTTGATTTTGACCTTCGAGAGGAAGGGATTTTTGGCGTCATAGGGCCTGAAAATATTTGCATTAGTTTTTACGAACTTTTAAGGGTAGATTGACTTGTTTCCGCGTCGCAAAAATATTCTAATTCCTACAGTACGTGTAACTTCAATTTATACTTTGTAAAATCGAGTTAAAAAAAAAGAAATTCTACTTACGGTCTTTGGTTCTTGAGGGACTGTAACCTAGCCATTTCTCCGGTAAATACCCTGTCTGGAGTTTCCTCGAACTCTTCAAGTCTGTATTGACGCATATTGATGTCTTCTCCGGTTGATTCGATGCCAAAGTGTTCACAAACAGCGGGCCAGAACTTGTCTTTCCATGTAATGAAGTCATCTTCGATGCTATAAGTGGATACAATACAGAATTATTTTCAAAAATAATTTTTAACAAAGGTCAATATATTTTCGATACCGCCTGTATGAAATATTAAATCGCTGTTCTATCTCTTTCAAGGTTTCAACTCCAGATTCAGAAGATCCCCAGTCGCCCTAGTAACATGGATTATAGGGTTATATTATATAGGGTTTATATATTCCATATATATTATCCATAAAGCGTTTGTGAGTAATAATGTAAAATGGTAGAAAATGGGTAATTAAATCCTGAATAATAGCCTACCCGACGATGCAAAAGGAAGTACGCCTATGTATTCGCCTTGGCAAGTAAAAGGCATGTTAATTTAACAAAAATTATTGAGATTCATCATCACTATAGTCTAGCAACTATTAAATTAAACTATAAGTCACAAATCACGCGTCGTAAGTGTTCAAAAGTAGCTGAAATCACGTGTCTCTCTTCAATCATCCAATCGCGTCCACTGCTGGACATAGGCCTGTCTTAGTTATTTCCAGTGTGCTCTACACTGTGCCGCTTGTAGCCAGTTTGCCGCTATACGTTTTATATCATCGGTCCATCTCGTGGGTGGTCGTCCTCGGCTTCTTTTATAGTTTTTCTGCCTTCATTCCATAATACGTCTTGTCCACCGTCCATCTTGTGTTCTGGCTAAATTCCCTACCCAGTTCCACTTAAACGTCGTGGTTCTATCGATGACGTCTTGAACTCCTGATCTTTGCATGATTTGTTGGTTTGTTATGTGGTCTCGAAGGCTCACGATCTGCATTGCACGTTCCATAACTCGTTGTGTAACTCTGAGTTTATTCGCAGATTTTTGCGTCAGTTTTAAAGTCTCTGCTCCATAAGTTTGTACAGGCAAAACACAACAAATACAAATTTGCCAAATGCTGCCATGTTAGGCCTATTCGCCTCTGTATTTTATGTGTTTGATTGTCTCTGCTTATTTTGATCAAGTGTCCCAGATATTTGTATCTGTTTGTTGTATGGTATTATTGTCAATAGTTATATTTTCACTCATTCTGAGATTTGTCATAAGTTTAGTTTTCTCAAAGTTTATCTTTAATCCTGCTCTTTCAGACAGACCTTTAAGCGAATGTATCATAGAAACTGTATCCTGTAAGTTATCTGCTATTAATACAACGTCATCTGCAAACCTTAGATGATTCAATCTTGTTCCATCTATATTAATGCCCATATATTGCCATTGAGTGTTCTTAAATATTGACTCTAGTGCTGCTGTGAACAATTTTGGTGAAATATTGTCTCCTTGTCTAACTCCTCGACCTAAGCTAAATTTTTCTGTGTCTTCGTGTAGTCGTATACTTGATGTAGCGTTCTCGTAGATGTTTTTGATTAGTGTCGTGTACCTGTAATCTATTCGGCTTTGATTTAGTGCTTCCAGTATTGTTTCAAACTACAGAATCAAAAGCCTTCTCGTAATCGACAAATGCAAGAACCAGTGGTATGTTGTACTCGATGCACTTTTCTATTAAGATCTTTATGGTATGCTATGTATGGTATCTTCGTGCTATTTTGCTCTTTCGATTTCCTCATAGAAGGCTTCAAAAATGTCATCTTCGTAATCGCTGGTGGGGGCGTATACCTGGATTATTTTCAGATTGTATCTCTTATTTAGTCTTAAATTTATATACATGACTCTCGTGTCTCTTTGCACCAGAAGAGAAACAAATGCAGTTTCTGATCACTACTGATCAGATAAAAGTAGGGTAAGGGCCAAAATTTTAAACTTTTAAAAAAGAAAATAGGTTCTAAATATGAACGATACAATGTAGAATTGGAATTAAAAATGCAAACAAAAATGGAGGATATAAAAAATATATAAACATCAAACTAGAAAACAAACTAAAACAATAAAACATAAATAAAAAGTGGGAAGGGTGCCGAAACATCATGAAAGAAGCAGCTGAAAATTACTAGACATAAAGGTAAACAAAGAAGAACAAAAACGAATGACTGTTTTGAAAGAAGAAACACACATTGGCAGCTAATGCAGTGACTAGAAGCAATAAATTAATTCATTTTTAAATCCGCAAGTGTCAGCTCCGGGAGCTTATAATTGCAGCCAAAGAAGGGACATTGGCATACCACACCATTAGGCATACGCACAGTTTTAGATCATTAAATTGTGCTTCCAAATTGATTTCCAATTTATATGAGTCTAAATTTTGTTCTGTTCGAACTAAAAATTAAACCATCGTGAAAAATATTTTGGCCAGAGAATCTCAGTTAAGGCTGGAAGTTGATATGCAGAAAGCAAATTTTCTTAGCATCGTTATTGATTCTTCAAATCACAAGTATTCGAAACTAGTACCTTTACTAGTAAGATACTTTGACAACCAAACAAAATTATTACAGTTAGTGGATTTACCAAGTAAGAAAATATCATGTTGATAACAAGATTGTTGGACTAACAGCAGATAACACAAACACTAATTTTGGTGGAATGAAAAGACAGGGAACTAATAATTTATTCAGTAAATGGAGTAATTCTTGCGGGAGACTTTTAATCGGTATAGGATGTGTTGCTCATATATTCAACAATTGTATTGAACGTATTACTGATGTTTCACCAATTGATATCGAAGTAATAACAGTGAAATATATTATTATACACATTTTGTGAATTGGTTAATTATGAATACAAAAAAATGTTCATAATTATTATTTTCAAAAACACGATTTCTAAACATGATTCCTGATAATTGAACGGATTTTACAAATGTTTAAACCACTGAAAGCCTATTTTCTATAATCTGAGAATTGTCTCACAATTTTGAGCCAATGTTTCAACGATCCCATTGCAGAGATGTGGATGTGGCTCGTTCATAATGTGGCGTCGCAGTTTCATGAAGCTATTCTAAAAGTAGAAGGTGATAAAACAAATGCGACAGATGCTGCCCAAGAATACTTTAATCTTAAAAACAAGATACATCGGTTTGATACATTATTTTTGGCGCTTAATGTGAGGGAATGTTTTGGTAAACTTGAAGGCGGACAAGCCGCTACTGAAAACTTCACTGCACAAGTGAAACATTTTTACCCAAAATGTGTAACCTACAATAGAAAATTGGGAGTACAAATCTACATGACTTTAAACTATTCAAATGGATAGATCTAAGAAGTGAAATAACATGGAAAGATGTTTGTTATTCTCTCGAAACTTTTAAATTGTATATCAAGGAAACTATTTAAAATGAAGATCAACTCTTTGACGAACTGGGAATTTTGAAAGACGTGGCTACAAGTTGAAAAATTGTTAATTGGAATACAGAAAAAAAAATAGTGAGGATCGATGGCTTGAAGTTTTTAAGTGTGTAGATCAATTCAAACTGAAAAACTTACAAATATTATGTGAATTTATTTTTGTCTTCCGGGTACTAATGCAGCTCTTCTTTTCTTCTTCTTCTTCTTCTAGTTCCATGACCGTTATCGATCGTTGGATATCATGTTGGCTACCATATTCGCTATCGTGACTTTATTGACAGCAGCTCTAAATAACGATGTAGTTGATTTTCCATACCATTGCCTTAGATTTTTCAGCCATGATGTTCTTCGTCTACCAGGACCACGATTACCTTGGATCTTTCCCTGAATTATCAGATGTAAAAGATCATATTTTTCAGGGTGTCTCATAATGTGACGAAGTATTCCAGCTTGCGTTTCTTTATTATATTGACCAGTTGTGTTGTTTAGCTCATCTGTCTAAGGACCTCCTCATTTCTAACTCGGTTGACCTAGCTTATTTTCAGTAGTCGTCTGTATACCCACTACCCACCCACTAATGCAGCTATTGAGAGCATTTGTTTTCTATAATAAATAATTATTGGACGTCGGAAAAGTCACAAATCTCCACTTCCACTCTCAAGGCAGCGATGCAGGTGTATATAAATTTTGATGAGACTTGTAATGAAATGTTTCATTTGCTTCAGTCGAAATTAATTTTCCGAAAAATATGAATAGTACAAAAAAACCGGAAGAACATGACTCTATTCCAGGTCCTTCATCTAAAAACTGTTAATTACAGGGTTTGTATTGTTTAGCAACATATTGTTTTAATGTTTAGGATAGTTTATTCTTTATTTTCAACGCCAAAAAGTTATGATTGTCCAATAAAAAGATTCATTTTATATTTTTAGTACATTTTTGTATTTTTGTACTTTTTTTTAAATATATATTATATAGTCACCGTAAAATATGTGTGTAAAATATTATTAACTACTATGAATAACATATCCAAATCGAAACCTTAATGATGTAACAACTTACTTAGCATCATCATCGCCAAGACCAAGGTCATAGAGTCTAGTGGCTCCTAATTCCTCGAGACGTTTATCTACATAGATGGCGACTTTGTTGTAATGCTCGTACGTTTTGTTTCCTAATCCAAATACCTGCAAAGTCATCAAAACTTTAAATTTTTAGATAACTTGTTTTAAAAAAGAAATAATATTCCGAAAAGCTCACGGCAAACGTGTTTTTATAGATAGTGCAATTATTTATAATTAAAGTGTTTAGTTTGTCTTTGTAGATATGCATAAATCATCACGATCATGGTGATAAGATGTATAAAGATAAAAACATTGCGCAAATTTATTATTAAAAACATTATTTTAAAGATGTCACAAAAACATTTTTTTTAATAAGTGATGGATTCGACTCAAGTAATGTGAAGTGAAGTGGCGACTGCCCAAAACCTTACATTGGTCAGACTGGTAGAACTTTTAACCAATGTATAGCAGAACATAAAAAGGCTTTCAATAATGGATTCTACATACGCACTTTAACTTCTAGATCATAATCATTCTTTTAATGACGAATTTCAAATTCTTCACATTCAAAATACAGGCCTTCAGCTATCTCTATTAGAATGTATGGAAATAAACAAATTAAAAAATACAGACAATTCTAAATGACCAACTTGAGACAAACAGTTCTCCCTGCCTCTACCTATTCAAGACTATAAAGTGTAGTAAACACTTATCAAGAATAGATCACTTGAGAAAACACTCTGCCGAAACAGCTGTAGTAGATTAATTGTGTGGAAGCTTTAAAAACAAAGTTCTCAGTGTTTTATTGTTATAAATTTTTTTAATTTACCTTCAAACTAAAACTACAACACGTTTTATTTTTTTAATGCATAACCTTGTTTTTAGTGATTAAAAATAGAGTACTTAAAATGCAATTATTGCGTTTAATTTGTTGAATTTTTTCTTGCCATTAAAATTCTAAGTACTTAAAATAAAATTCAAAAATTTTATTTTCTAAAGCAAAAAATCAACTTCAACAAAATGGCATGTTCTAATAGTTGTTAAATTAATTTGTTTCTCCGAAAACTGCAAAATACGGCAAAATCGTTAATTATTTATTATTCTTAAATATCAAATTACGGCTTTAATATTGCGCACAAAATTGGGTCTTGTGGTACTTCAGAATTCAGATTGGTTGCATTGCTCCTGTAGTGATCCTTTCCCAAGTTAACATTCTCCTTTTCTAATTTGGCTGCACCGTACTAAAGACCACCGAGAGTCAGAAATACGTATATACGGTTGCCTTCCATCGATATACCTATTTTGTTTTACCGTTTTGTTTATATATAATATATATATACGAGGAACAAGAAAACATGAATCCTAAAACAAGTCCAAAATTACAGCAACCGAAATGGAGTTAATGACAAGAAGCTCTAGAGTAACAAAACTGGATAGTGTTAGAAATGAAGAGATAACAATATTCTGCTCCACAAACTCGCGGTATTGACATGCTTTCACTCGCGGTTGTTTTTCGTACGGGAAATCTGTCCAGGTACCGGTTTCTGAACACGTGTTTCGCGGTACTAATTTTTCGCGTAACTAAAAGCGGGAGAGAGATAATTAATTAGCGGCAATCAACAGTAGAGAGAATGCCCTGTTACCAACGACAGTCAACAGGAAAGAGAGAACATCTCTTCAGCGTAGATAACAGCCAAGAGGGATGTGTCTGTACCAATCGATAGATAACAGGCAAGAGAGAGTACTGCTGCCTAGCGAGATTCAGCCGACGAAAAAGAGCGACTTCTTGTTTGCTATTTTAAAACTGTCTGTATTTCTAAAGGAGGGGAGGTTGAACTGGAGTAGGAAGGCATTATCAAGGGTTGGACTAAGATAATAATTGTAAAATTATGGTAGAAGGATAGTTAGTAATACAGCGAAAAATGATATGATTTTGGCATGTGAAAAAATTGAACACTAAGCCCAGAGTAGAACAAACAAAAAATACAAGGGGGCGGTGCCATGTGTGTTGTAGAGACAAAAAGACAGAAAAACTAGTAAAATATGTGTAAAATGTAGCATTTTTGTATGTCTAGAACACGCAAGTTATGGTGTTACCGTCGCATGCTCAGAATCCCGTGGACAGCGCACATATCTAACGAACGTCTGCTAGAGACCGTGCACAAAGAACGAGAATTGATCATCATCAAAATGAGAAAGGTCCAATACTTCGGTCATATAATGAGAGGACCTAAATATCGCTTACTCCGGTGAATCATTCAGAGCAAAATCGAAGGAAAACGTTGGGTCGGAAGAAAACAACTGTCCTGGCTGCGTAACATTAGACAATGGACAGGTCAAATGGTCGAGGAACTGTTTCATCTAGCTGCCGACCGAGAATCATTTCATCAGCTTGTCAATATGACGATAACCAACGCTTGAATACAAGCACAGCACACAAAGAAAAAGAAGAACACGCAAAATCATAAATAGTTTGTGTATATTGTACAAATAGTACAATGTATTTTGTAGTAATGTGTATGCTTTAGTCTAATAAATGTTCAATAATATAACAGTTACTGGTACAGTTTTTTTTTTTTTTCATAAGAGCATATTATATTTTGAGGCCCGTCCGATGAAGGTTAAGGGAGAATTCGCCAATAATAATAATAATTATAAATTTTATTGATAGTGCGCGTGTTTGTATTGTACATTCATTTTAAGTAGATATTATACATTTTGCTACTATATTTAAGTAGCTGTTCATGTTACAATTAGCAATACCTTGAAAAATTCTAATTATACATATCATATATATCTACCATTTGAAGTTTCCGTAATTTTGATAACTAGCAATGACTTAGTATTTTTAACTACTTTATTGAATATATTAATTACCATACACGCTCGATTTGTATTCATTTTATTTCCACAAAAAGGTATTTAAACTATTCACAATAAAAGTAGTTGTAAAAGTGTGTTTATTGTATTTCGATACATAAAACATAATTAAATACACATTAAACAATACAAATTGTATGATAATTAAAGGTCCGATAATTACTGGATTTAAAGACGTTCGTACACTCACACAGTAGTAATTCTGGTCTGAGGGTTTAGAACAGATCAGACAATCATCATATCGTGAGTTGTGAGTTGGGGAGGATTGGGGATATCAACCCAACCTCCTACGAGAATAGACTGATATTAAACTAGCCTTTGATAGATGGATTAACTGCCGTCAACCTGGCTTAAGTCTAACGCTAATATGATGGTTTTTCTTATTTTCTTTGGTCTAGCTTCTATCACAGATGCTACTGGATTATGATCCGAACCTATATCAGCTCCAGGATAAGTTTTAATAGATTTCACGGCATTACGGTTTCTTTTGGTCACCATTATGTAATCTATTTGGTTTCTGATTACTTTTTCTTGACTGCGTTGAGGTGACGTCCACGTATATACAGTCGCCTTGGGGGTAATTTAAAGAATGTATTAGTTATTATTAAATCTTCGCTTTGACTAAACTGAACTAAACGAAGTCCATGACATGATTATGGCAAATCGTCGAATTAAGCTCCACGAGTTAATAGAGGTCCTAAACATTTCCTATGAACGCGTACATAACATCATCCACCATCATTTGGACATGAAAAAGGTATCCGCGTGATGGGTGCCGCTTTTGCTGACAATAGATCAAATGCAAAAACGTGTGACCACTTCGGAAACGCTTTTGGCGATGATACGGCGCGATCCGAAAGATTTTTTTCGCTTATTTATCACCGTTGATGAAACCTGGGTGCATTATTATACACCGGAAACCAAAGAACAGTCGAAACAGTGGCGCAAACGCGGCGAAGGGCCGCCGAAGAAGGCAAAGAGTGCACATTCGGCCGGCAAAGTGATGGCGACTGTTTTCTGGGATGCGAAAGGCATCATCCACATCGACTACTTGGAAAAATGAAAAACAATCAATGGTGAGTACTACGCAGCATTATTGGATCGATTCGATGCCGAATTGCGTCAAAAACTTCCCGGTTTGGAACGCAAAAAAGTGCTCTTTCACCAAGACAATGGACCGGCTCATCGATCGGCCGTCGCCATAGCAAAATTACACGAATTGGGCTATGAATTGGTTGAACACCCACCGTATTCCCCAGATCTTGACGCCAGCGATTTTTTCCTGTTTCCAAATCTAAAAAAATGGCCGTTCGCAATAAATGATGACGTTGTCGCTGAAACTTCGCTATTTTGAAGAGCTCGAGCAAACGTACTATTCGGATGGGATAAAAAAATTGGAACATCGTCTTACTAAGTGTATCGAGCTAAAAGGGGACTATGTTGAGAAATAAGTCGATTTAATTTAAAATAATTTGTTTTTTCTATCAAAGGTTAGTTTTATATCAATCCACCCTCGTATATATGATATAGGAGGTGGTCAAAAAACAATTTCGGAGATTAATCTTACTGAAAAACCGGAAAACTTCGGAAAACTCTAATACAGTTAAGATAGCGATTTGTAAGCTACGATACGAGAGCAAACCTGACAGTAAGGTTAAATCAGCGAATGCTACTGATAGTATTTTTTGTTTAACCTTAACAAAAATGTTGATAATATTGAAAATTATCACAATCTTATGTAACCCGTTGCGAAATAATTAAAAATAAAAAAAGCAGTTATCATTATTAAAATACGTATAGTTTTTTCTGGCACGATTATTATTATTTGAAGTTTTAATCGGTTATATTTCAGGAAAAGGAGAATAAAATAGGTTCATTAACATATTTACTGAATTAAAATTTGTAAAATGTGAAGGTACCTTTAATATTAATCATCAATTAATGAAGGTCGATGAAATTCTTCGTATATTATAAATTTTGCTATTAAAATCCGGTTTAAATAATATAAGAAGTTACGAAATAGTTGCAGTATTCTTTTAAATTAGCAATATCATGGTGTATAAGATTTTAGTTTTGAATATATTATAAATAACTGTATTAAGTTTATGGAGTAGAAGAATAATCAAATTGTAAAAATTGGACCAAGTAGAGAATTATACTGCTCGGAAACTTAAACGAAAGAAATGGCATATAATAAAAATGAATAATGCTATTGTTCTGGATGCATTGCTGGATACATCGTT